TTTTTTAGACAGTTCTCTTTCATGTGAGGAAGGACTGTCCCAGTGGTTTGGTTTTCTTGGACTAATTAAAATGCAGCTAATGTGGACTTAACAGGACCCTGGGAAGATCTGTGTCACCTTGCTAATCCAACAGTAGACCATTACAAGTTGGGGGGGGGACTTAGTTTCCTGACAGCTTAGGATTGAGCTAGATCTCTGAAGGGTTAAGCCAGGAGCCGGTGTGGCATGAAGGGAAGAGGGAGAACGAACCAGCCGGCATGGGGCAGGCAGGGCAGGTGGCAGCTGGCTGCTGGAATCTTCCTTTGGTGTTGGGCACTGTCAAAGCAGTTTGTGAAGGATCCACAAAAGTGTTGGGAGAGAGAGAAAGACTGCAAGCAACCATCTCCATTTTAGCCCCAGAATAGCCCGAGCACCCACATGGTCTGTGGGAGACAAGCTCAAACCTGCTTGACACTAGAGATGGACTCAAAGCCAAGTCCCAGCTGTGCTCTGAACATCTGTCATGTTTCCTGAGTGAACATCTCTCTCCTTATTTTGCTCCATTTACACCCTAAATAAATAAAAAAATGTATCAGAGATTTGCACTTCTGTCTCCACTGTGCGATATATGCTTTGGGCTACCATATCAGTGTCTCTGATAAACACTCTAATTTAATACACAGTGGAACAACTCTAGGAGGAAAGATTAAGACACAATCCCATGCAGGGGGGCAGGGAGGAAGATAGCTTGGCTGATCAAAGAGGTGTGTGACAAGGTTTTAAGTGCCTGCTTGCATATGGGCACTGAAAGGTTTCAGTGAAACAGGGGGCAACTTCTGGGAAGCCTCTGGGGCAAGGTGCGAGGAAGGTCAGCAGCAACATCTGTGCACAGGGGACTTTGGACAATACCTCCTGGAAAGAGCTGGTAGATGAGGGGGATATGGAGGCCATGAGGAGGTCATCACCCTGATCTCCCCAGAAGTGCGGCTGGAGGGCTTTTGCATGTGTGGATCTCAGTTATAACTCGCTACTGGTAGAAAAGTGAAATGGAAAAGAAAAACTTGTTTCCTGTCAAGCTTCAACTAAAAACTGAAAAAACCCCTGAGAATTCAAGTACTGTGAGGCATATTGATGCTTGTCAATATTTGTGACTGAGTTATTATCTAGCTTTAATAATTAATGATTGTCATTAACTGCTGCACAAGCAAGTGGCAGTAGGTAAATTATCCCTTGACTTTTTTTCAGTCAGCAGAGCAGGGCAGTAGTGCATAAGCAGAAAACCCACCATCAGGTGTGCTGGGGTGAGCAGCCTTTTGGTCACGCCAAGGGAAATGCTAGTTGTGGGTTGGTGGTGGCTCACGTGCTTCTGGGAGGACCTGAGGCTCCTGCCAGCCTTGAGCGCAAAACTACAAGCCATGTCCTCTCTAAAATCACTCTTCTCAGCATGACAGCCCTTCTCTGTGCTGTTGACAAGCTGCCTTGGAGCCACCTGTGAACACACGCAGTTTTCCAGGTCCTTCAGGGTTGCACCAAGACAGTGCAGCTGCTGCAGGCTGGTTCAGAGCCCTGCGTTAGCCTGGACAGTGGGAACAGAGCTGGACCAACACTGCCAAAAGTATTTCTGCAACCCTTCATTGATGGCTTCAGTGAGGTCTTTTTGATGCTGCACTCATCTCTTCTCAAAGAAGTCTTCACTGATGTTTAACTAGCAAGTAAAAAAAGGCAAATATTAGAGTATGCACACAGAAAGAGAAGGATAAACTGAGCACCTCAAACTATGTTTTGAGCATTAAAATATCCAGTAGTGAAAGAATCTGTATCGCATTCTGAACTGTAACTTGGATTACATGCCCAGAGCGCGATAATAGAAATCACCTTTGGTGTCTGCTGAGGAGTAAATCCTTGGCTGTGCCTTTTCACCTAAACTGCAGGAGCAGCCAAGAGTGGAACGGCTGGAACAGGTGCTTTTAGCCAGTAGAAATACACCGGTATGAGCGAAGTCATATTATTGCCTGGGCCAGCAGCACATTGCACTTCTCCCCTTCTGCTGTCCTCTGAATAAGACCAAAAAGGAAAGAGAGATAAGGGAGGGAACTGGGCACTGATATGTGTCCGAGACCCAGTATCCTGAAAGCTGACTTCGCAAATCTTATTCGAGGGAGAATCTGTTTGTTTGAGATGATCATTTAGAAAATGAGAATACACCCAATAGATTCCTTTGTGGAGGAGACAGATAGAGGCAAAGATTTGAAAGCAGGAGTCCATCCATCCATCATTTTTGACTGCGGTGTGTTACAAACAGTCTCATGCAAACGAAAAAAAAAGAAACAGTGGGTGAGATTTACTTCCTTGGTTATTCCCTGCAATTATTCACCCATTGCAACCTGAGATATTTTAGATCTCACTTGGGCTGCGGGAAGATTCCTCAGCTAGCTCCTCTGAGCAGCCAGCTGCAAAAAACATTGAAATAGGAGAAGCGTATAAGAGCATTAAGTGGTAGCATTCTCCATCACCCACAGCCTCTGTTAGTTGTGCTTCCAGGCCAGATGAAGCTAGAATGTACGTACAGCTGTTCTAAGTTGTAAAATACATTTTGAAATGGGATTGATTCATCTGTGTTTCATGAGATTGAATTAAGCAAAAGAAAAAAGTATAAAGACTTGTCTTTTTTCCAAGCATTTAATAAAAATATTCAGTCTCACTGGAACATAATAGAGATGTGCTTTTCAGCACACAGATGTGCAGTAGTGAGAGCCACGTTTTATGTAAGCTGCTCATTCTTTTGTGCAGTGTTAAGAACTGAATGTACTTTCATACTCCTTTTTTTTGGCCTTGACATGAGCTAATGTCAAAGCAAATGAAGACCTGGTGGTAAATCCTTTTCAGCACTGCTAATGATTGTGGCCATTGCGGAGCTGTTACTGGCTGCCTAATCATCTTTGGGAAATCGGGCTTTTGATAAGTAGACCTTGTATTCTGAATTTTGATTTCTGCAACAAAATTTGCTGGCGTGACTCGGTATTTAGAGGATCAGAAATGTGTGTTGGTCACATACTGCAGAGTATATTCAAAGCAGGTTTTATGGTGAACTTCACTGGGTAAAGTCATTACGGGTATAATGAGTGATTTGAACAGAATTACATGGGGAAAAATTCATGCCAGCATCTTCTATCTATAAAAATGCATTTTAGTAGAAAACAGATTTACAAGTGGAATTTTTTTTTTGCATGCAAGGCAGAACATGCAGAAGAGCAACTGAGACTGATTTTCTTTTTCCAGTTCCATTGCTTGTTTTATATTTAGGGATTTGTACTACGGCCGCCTAGATTTTACAAGCACAAATGTGCCAAAACCCTTGACTGGTTCATTCAGGTTGAATAATAAGCAACATAAAATGTCTACTTTCTTCAACACCTGCACACTCCATTCCATAGTGTTTTGCAAATGTAGGAGGTGCAGATACATGTTTTGACTTTGATCTTGTAAACTGAAACTGTTCAAGTGCTAGACCCTAATCTAGAACTGAGCAGCAAGGAGATGTTGCCCAGGTTTCCTCAGCAACCCACATTTATCTGGGTGAGCCTCTATTTTCAGTTGTTCGTCCAGTTGCTCTGGGGGCAGCTGCACATGCAGGCAGCGTGGGTGCCGGGCAGAGCCAGACCTGGCACGCTGCTTTCCATAAAATGAGCCCATGGAGCTTGGTAAACATTGAGGTACCCTACTGTCAACATGCATCGGTCATCTCAGAGGTTGGGTGCATAACTGTGTGTGTCACTGCTGGAGTGCACAAAGTCTGTTTAGCTGGAGACACTTCAAAATTTATCCTCTGTTTTTGTGTAGCTGACATTTATTTACTGCTGCTTTAGTAGTTGCATGGGGTGGATCTGCCTCACCTGTGCAAAATGGTTTAGGTCTTATGTAGTCCCACTCTTGAACATGGTTTTCTTCCATTCCCTCATGCTCACCTGCTCCTACTATCAGGCCCAAAATGCAGAATGGCTATTCTCTTGTCCAGCTGATGATTCCCCCACCTTTTCTATAGGGGTGGGATACCTCTTACCCAGTGAAAGCTATTTGAAAGGGGAAACTTAGTCCAGCATCAGCTGTGTCCATACTTCTAAATAGTGGAGAGGCAGGGACAAGATGACACAGACTGATTCCTCTCCTTACTGCTTAGTACTAGCCCTCTCAAGAAAAGATTTGTCTTGATTGATAACTGAAACAGTCTAAAACAGGCCTGGAAGTGGATTAAAATTAAAGACTGAGTGGCCTGGGGTCCAGTGCTTGAAGCTACTGCCTGTGTCTATTTTATTTATCTGCACAGACATACCTGTAGCTGTTTATTCTCCCTCTGTTAGCAGCCACTAGAGAAAAGCATTGTCAGCAGTTGATTTATCCCACCTATTTTAGACACTACTTTAAGGTGAAATGAATCACCCTTTGGAAGCAACTATCTCTCTATTGACTATGGAGGGAGTCTGCATAATGGAGTTCAGATGGCTAAAGGTAGGAAGGTGCGTTCTGCCTGTGCAATTGTCCCCTCAGTAACATGAGACCTGCACTGGGGTTTTCCTGGCAGAGCTTTCAGTGGCTTTCACATGGGATTTTTCTCCACAAGAAGTGTCAGAGCAGGAGAAAACACAGTGCATGCTCCCTGTCACTCCATTTCCAGCCTGCTTCATCTTCACAACAACTTCCCCCAACAATTTACCCTTGGGGGAGCATAGAACACAGGACCACAAATCTGGCTGAGCAACTTCTCCTGCTGCGTGGAGATGATTAACACTTCATCCTGGTCACCAAGCAGCTATGCAAACCCCAGAGTCCTGTGGAGGCGGAGGGGATTGCTTTGAGGGACTATTTTATTTTCTGATGCTATTAAAAAATACTTCAGAGTGATAACAGTACTTTTAAGCAACAAACGGCTACTACCAAGTATCTTTGCTATTTCCTTGTAATTAAAAGGGCTGCCTATGCAAAATAACAAAGCATGAACTTTTCTTTTTTCTCTTTCTGCTCAGAAATCGAAGCAAAGGAAGCGTGTGACTGGTTACGTGCAGCTGGATTTCCCCAGTATGCTCAGTTCTATGAGGGTAAGTAGGTTTTTCTCCTCTTTGTGCAGTACTGAAAGTGCACTGGACCCTTGCCAGGAGAGCTTGCAGTCGGCCAACTCAACATTTGACTGAGTTAGGGCCATGGCTGGCTGCTTCACAAAGCCTCAGCTGCTGGAGTCATACGAGTGCCTAAAGAAAAGTAAGATTCTTGCCCTCATAGCCATGGGAAGAAAAAAAAAAGGGACATAGTTTGAGTAAACCTCAAAGGTTAAAAAAACAAGTACAAAAAATCGAAGTACATAGGTGTCTTTTTTTTTAAAACTTCCTGAACTGTGTCTAAAATAAGATTGAAAACACTGAAAGTCACTGAAAAGTTCAATCTTACTGAAAATAAGATTGAAAAACTCTGCAAAGTTACCAAAAGTGAATAATCTGAGCTGCATTTTCCATTTGCAAAGCAAAAAAAGCCGGTATTTTGATGCTGACTCAAAGCAAATGGCTGTGTCCTCTTCCTAGCTGTAAAGTTCTTGCCCAGGGAAGCAGCATCCCCGAGGGCAGGGCGAGTGGTTGCACTGCTGCTGCATTCAGGAGCAGTTTGGGGACTGGGGCTGGGTTTTTCCTGCTCTCCCTAGCTCAATGCTGAGAGGGAAACTGCAGCTGATCCTCGTTTTTCCCAAACTGCATATTCTCTCTGCCAGAGACACAGAGCCAGCTCAGGCCCGCTCGGGCTTATTAGCCGAAGCGCAGCTCCGCCAAACACTGCTGGACACCTTCCAGGGTCAGCTTGGGTCTGGAGGCAGCATGGCTCCACGCATGGAGCGATGGCCAAGAAACTTCACGGGTCAGAGTCAGCTCTGCTGAGAGCCGTCTCAGACACCATCCATCCCGCACGTGGGATGGATGAGGACACCTCTGCGGCTTCCGATGAGGTCCCTCAAGGTGCAGGTGCTGGCTCCTGATAGGCCGCTCAGGTGCCTGGCTACTGGGATTTCCATGCAGAGATGCTCAGATGGCTCCTCAGGAGCTCAGCAAGGAACTAAGACTAATAAGCCTGCCAGACCGAAGCTGATGTAGATGTGTGCCTACCGCAGTCCCTGGGTGCCCAGTAGTACTTTTGTGTCTGCCTTGTAATCAGAGTATCTCAGATCCCCACTGCCCCAGGGAAAGGAGAGCCTACTGCCTGCTGCACTCAGAGGGATGTTTCTTCCAAAAAGCAACCTGTGCTGGGCTCCCACAGTTCCCATACAGTCAATACGCGCTCTAGACAGTCTGCGTCTCCGAAAACAAGGTCCTTTTTACAGGCATCTATAATGTCAGGGTTAAGCACTAGTGTCTGAAAATGCTGGCTGCAGTTCCTGTATCCCAGCATCCTGCTGCGGTACCTAAGCATGGCAGAGCAGTCTGGAGAGCAGCCACAGCGCTGGAACCCATCCCACCATTACGGAGCCCACTAATTTGTTGCAGCCATGTCACTTTTCATTACAAATGTCAGCTTCCAGCACACTAGTCTGGCTTTTTAGCTAATATTGGGGGTTATAATTCAGCTCATTTTTTTTGTCTCTGTTACTCGAGTAATCCTTTGTCTGAAATCGTTGTTATTGGGACCTGCATTAAGAGCAAAAAGCACAGAACATTTCTGTTTCATGGGAAAAGTCTGTCTAGCAAATAACTCATTAAGTCACTGTGATGGGAATGGAGAACCTTGTTGCTCATGTGGATGAAGAAAGTGTGTTGCTAATTCCCTGATCTCATTCTTTTGTGCTAGGCGCTAGAAAGAACAGCTGACAATTGAGTATCTTATTAAAGCCAAAGTGAAATAATCTTGCTCTCTCTTCAGTGCACAGGATGCTCAACTATACCTCTAACAGGAAAAAAAAAATAAAGTGACTGAAAGGTTCATAGATACAGCTGGAAGGGAACCAGAGCTGAGTGAAATCGGTGGTACTAGATTTCAGTGAGCAAGCACATGCAAAGCATTTTAGATGTAGAAAATGTATTTTCATTTGAATAGCAAGCAGTCATCTTAATATTGTGTCTCCTTTTATAGACTCCCAGTTTCCCATTGACATTGCTGCAGTAAAGAAAGATCATGATTTTCTTGACAAGGACCTTGTAGAACCTCTTTGCAGGTAAATAACACCTAAAGCTTCTTTTCTGATAATTTAAAACCATAGGCTGATTTGTTATTGTTAGCATAGCAGCAGAAGCAGCAGCAGAGATGTTTGCTTGTCCACGTGAATTAAGCAATGATATCTACAATGCTACCATTCTGAGTTCATTTCTCTTATGGAAAATCCTGGAGTTGGACCCCCGCTACACTCACAGAAAACATCACATGATTTGAGAAGACCCAAATCCAATGGATTTGAAACACCTGCCTTTTAAGAAAGAACTAGCAATAGTACAAGCAAACCCTGAATGAGAGTCACATTTGAGTTGCACATGAATAACTCTTATGTCCAAGCACAGCAGAAAAGATGAAATTTCATTGCACAGAATTCAGCAAGTACTTTCTCTGGCAGCAGATGTGGTTTTCATGCTGCTGTGATTCCCTTGGTACTCTGCTTTTGGCACCAGAACTGGGACCATAACCCCACAGCACTACAGCTGCTACAACTAATCACTGGTTTGCCCCTCCCAGAGGGCTTGTGTTTGCTGTTTATCTAGCTTTTTATACTCTGTCCGTGATGAATATACTGTACTGCCTTGCCCAAGTACTGTCCCCCAGGACTCAAGAAGCAGCAATTCTGTGGCAGTTTTGCAAAACCACATTGCAGAGGCATTGTTCCCCTCTTCTTTCTCCCGTGCTCAGCTCAAGCTGGGTTCTGCTCCTGTCCCCTTCAGCAAGGACAAAGGAGCATCTGGCCCCTAACCAAGCAGGCTTTATTACATGTTATGGAAACTTTCACAACACCAACATCAAGATAACTGGACAAAACTCTATTTCCCCTTCTGCAACTGTGGCTAAAGTCATTAGAGAGTGTATGCTGTTCCACTGCACATCGTACTGTGCATTGCAGGGATTAATGAGTCTGTGATGGAGGACTGCAGAGAAGGTTTCTGAGAATCATAGCAAATAGAGCTGGAAGAGAGTTCATCTAGTCCATCTCTCCATCCCGGGCTATGCCCTCCTTCCTGGAGGATCCCGGTGATTCCTGGGCATAGCTGTTGGAATGCTTTCCTAAAACTCCCTTGCTGCAAGTGAGACCTATTTCTTTTCATTTTGTCCATTATGGTTGTGGGGAACAGGATATTCTCTCTCTCTGTGTAGTAGCCTTTGTGTCTGAAGACAAAGCAGTAGGAAAGACTTGGATCCTTCAGTGATTGCTCTCAGGGATGCCAGGGAGCAGAATAACTGCAGACTTGATCCACTGCTGTTCTGTACAGCTTGGTGGGAGGGATTGCTATGCCCATGCCTAAGAAACCTTTTTCCCACACATACATGCATCCCCCTGCTTCAGTCTGGCATGGTGGAAGACATACTTTGGTGTAGTTTGGGAACTAGGAAGTGGTTGGCGGTTGAGATCTCTTCCACTGTGCCCTTTCCCACAAAGTTGAAAGACCATCCAAAAGTGCAAGTATGATGTCTGACCCTGTCCCTTTCTCCTGAGAGCAAACAGTAAGGTGAAGTCATTGCATAGCTCTGTGACTCTCACCAGTTTTTCTTCTCTGAAGTAATTAGCAGTGGTAGTACTTCAGTTATGGTCACCAGGCATCCAACACCTACACAGCTAAATGGGAACAGCTCACCTTTTCCTCCTCTGGCCTCTGTAGACTCACAGATACACTTAAAACAATTACACTAGGTTGATATATTTATGAGGATTTCTTTGTGAGCTGAACAGCTAGAGACTGGGGTTTTGTTCTCTTTTATTAAAAGATGAGGTTTTGGAATATAAGCTAGCAGCTGGAGAGATGCACTTACTTATGTGACAGAATGCTTTATATTAGCCTAAATCAAGTGATACTGCTGAGACCTGTAGTACATAAGCATAGACACAGACCTTTCCAAACTATTTAATCGAAGACAAAGGGTTTTATGACTGTCTAGTAACTTTTTCTGTAATGATTTTTTTCAGAAGACAACACCTGTTGAATTTGATTTTTGTTGGCAGTTTTTAAACAGTTTAGATCTAAAAAAGTAATAAGACCTCATATACTAGCCAGATAGAAATAGAAGTATTATGTAGAGGTTATGTTTTCAGATTGCAGACATTTAATTTGCTGTAACGCAGCAGCTCCAAACCTTTAGCTGAGAGCAACCTGTAAAAAGTGATTGTGCGAAATGTCAAGATGTGGGTTCATCAGAAGCAGTAAACAGTGCCAGTCACTGCCCCCAGTACCAGCTTTGTTACTGTATTAGCTATCAAACCAACATCTTCCAAGTTTTCCAGTGCGCTGGAAATCCTCACAGCTTGACTGACCACTGTGGCCAGTTTTCTACCCTTGCTTTGCTCTGTGGTGGCGTTACTACAAGGTGCATGCCAGTATATCATACAAGAGCACAAGCTGTGATGCACTTTTATGAAAGAGAAAGTTAAAAAAAGGTTGGTTATTATTTCTGTATGCACCAATTCCCAGGTCAGGGGCCAAAATTCCATTCTTCAAACACCCAAAACTGCCCCTGAAGCTATGCATGACCAAGCCTTCACACTGACTAATAGCGCATTCAGCCTGTAGTACGGAATAAAATGGGGTTCTCATTTTTATTTGGAGGATAATTTTGAAGCTGGAATGCCAGAGTGGATAATCAGTTGGAGCAGAGTTTTAGCTCTGAATGGTAACGCTTCTAGCATAAACACTAAATTTCTCTGCTCTTGTGGATTGAAATCAGACTCTCAACCTCATTTTATAATCAGTTTTCTTATGGCATTGCAGTATACAAGACAACATGAGGTACAAATGCAGAGGAACCTTTTCTGTTTTTTAAGGCAGCTGGTAGAATTTTAGTCAGAAAGCCTAAGACTCCCTGTTGTAAAAGATTTCAGTGACCTTTCTGAGATATTCTAACACTCCTGCTGTTTACAATATCATTTGAAAATTTGGCAGAGTAGAGACCAAATTTGAGGCCTTTGGGTTAGAGGCGTATCTATCAAGAGATTCCACTCAGATTTTATTGAGTAACGAACAATAGAAAATTACCATGCAATCTGCAGGCGAACGCTGTCAGCCTGCCAAAATAATAATTGGGCATGAAAATTTTATAGCTAGATCTCTGTGTCGTTTCCAAAATAGCAGCAACCAGCTCTGGTCTGGGAACTTTTGCGGCCGCTGTGATAAGAGGGTGAGAAGGAAAAGCCAAGCCATGTTGTACTTCTTGTATTCACGTAAACACCGTGACTAAGAATATAAAGAACAAGTATGTAACAGTCTGATACACAGACCCCTAGACCAAGCTCTTAAAATTTGAACTGTGCCAAGCAGCCAGCAGCCTCTTTTTCCATAGCTAGTGTCTCTTAAATAGCTTGTAATCCAAAGGTCGCTGTACATAGGACGTCCTTCCATTAGAGTTTTGAAGTGGTGATTGTATAGCCAGTACTGTCTGCCGAGTTATATTGCTCTAGGTGCTGTTAGGAGATAAGCCCAGCTCTCCACATGCAGTACGGAAAGCCCTGCTCTGAAGTCAGTAAATGTCTCCCATTGACCTCAAGGAGAGTTGACTCACCTCGTGTGAGCATGTAGCCTACAGAGTAACTCACTCAGCTGCAGCCATGACAAAAAGTGACAGGACTGGAAAACAGTATGTTCTTTTCACACACAAAACTGATGGAGCAGGGACGTGCCAGTGCCTACTTCGCACACCAGCCCAGCTGGTACTGGGAGGACCCTTATTCAGTGTTCAGACCTCAGCAGAGCCCAGCATGAGCAGCTGGATGTCCTCTTCCCAAATTCCACAGTATCAGAAGAAGCCAGCTAGGGGCATGTGTGTGCAGCACCTAAACTTGGCTAGGAATAATGATAAAACAAAGAAATAGTGTCTTTTTTCCCTCGGAGAGGAGTTTACGGAACCATATAATGTGTTTGCCTGGTCATGATCCATAAGAGAGGACATTTGCAGATCTGCAGAGGTAGGAGACACCGTGCTGCCCATGCTAGCCCTCCCCATGGTGCCTGCTCCTGCAAAACTGGTTGGTGCCCCTGGCTGCATTCCCCACCAGCTGCTTGGAAGCAGCTGCAGAACAGGTCCAGGGGAATGCGTGGAGCTCCAAGTCACTTTAAAGTTGTCTTCCCATTATCTGGATGGCTCTTAAAGCAGGACAATAGGTCACCCACAAGGGTTTTAAGCTAATCATATCCTGCATTACTACAAGCTTGTATTTATTTGCAAACACTGCTTAGTGCTGTACAGGATGCGAAAGTCAGAGATTTCCTGCTTTTGAAAAACTTCCATCATAAGGGTTAGTAAGTACAGCACTAGGGTTGGGATTCAGAGCCCTAAGTACCTGTGTCTAATGCCATCTCAGATTTCCTAAGATAGCTCAGACTTCTCCATAGGCTGGCTGGACCAAGAGGACCTGCAGCAGCTGGAGGCCAGGCTTGGTACTCTAGAGGATCTAAAATAGCACTGGAAATATCTGTTTGGGCACCTGAATCACTCCGCTGGTGTTTAAGTGTTGTTTCAAGGGACACTTTTCAACATATGTTGAATGTTGATGATGATGTTGATGATGATGTTGATGATGATGATGATGATGATGATGTATGAGATGATGTTTCACCATAGAGATAACTGTTAAACCACAGAGGTAGTGTTTTCCTGTGATGGCCTGGAGAATAAATAAAATTAACATCAGTGAAGCACTTGCGGTAGTAAATATTTTGCAGGCTTCCCCTGAACACTGCAGAGCCTTCCAGACAAGCATTCAAATGCATCCGAGATGGTTTGGGTTTTATATCATCACCTCACTTGTGTTTATTTAATGTGGATTTTTCTGCCTTTTCTTAAGTCCAGATTTTGTGTTTTGTTAACATTACTGACAGTCTTTTCCCATGTTTTTAAGGAGTGACGTGAAAGTGTAGTGCTTCTCTCACTTTGACTGGGACATTAGTGACAGCCTTTTGTAGCCAGAGACTTTTATTTTCTGTTTTTTGAAAGATTTGCTGTGGACTTGGCTGTCAGTCATGTAACAACTTTAAGCAGATGAGAAAAGCTTTCTGCCACCGCTGGCACATCAGCAAGGCATAAGAAGTCGAAACAGACTGGCTTTGATTGGAGTTGTTAGTACCACGCAGGCTCACAAATATGATCATTAGTTCTCTAATTTCACTGGCAAATCTTTCCATAGCGTTGGAAGAGCCCCAGAAATCATGCCGATGTTTTGTAGATAGGTGAATTTAAAACCTGAGGTTGAGTCCCTGGCACCCATTGAAAAGTAGTTTTGTTTTTCATGGAGCGAGTTCTTCACAGCACAGCCAGGCTAGAAAGCAGCCAGGACAATGGTGTGACTTCCCAAGCCTCCAGTTTACGTAACAATATTCACTTTTATATAGCTGACCTCTCAGTCCCTGCTGAAATGATCTTGCTCTCAAATGCCGTTGGTGGGAAAGCGATGGCTTTGGACGGTCTTGTTGGTTTGATCACGTGCTTTCTGCACCTTTCCATGCTGAAGCAGCAGCCTGTCTTAATAGAGATGCCGTGGCACTTTCTCCTGTCCGCTGGACACGTGCAGAGGTACCTGGGTGCAAATCGGGCGAAAGGTACATCATGGGCTGTTGCTTCCTCATCTTCCCGCTCCTGAAGCGTGTGGCTTGCTCCTTGGATTTTAGAAGACAAGCGACACCATAGTGAATGGAAGCAGCACTGGTCCCTGTATTTAAAATGTTTTCTTCTACATCATCTCCTTAACAGCTGCAAATAGGCAGTAAGTATAGAGGTTTCTTACAAACTTTTGAGGAAGCAGTTGCACAGACCATCTGCCAGGGGCTGTTGTGGAGACGCGGCTGCGCTGCAGCCCTCTTTCTCAGGAGAGTTTCTTCAGTGCCTGCTCTCCTGGAGGCAAGAGAGTTGGAGTCGATGGCTTGGTTTTCAGAGTTGATGAGCAGCTTGAGAGGAGGCAGTGGTTTCTCAGGATTTCTGAGCCTCTGGGTGGGAATTTAACTGGTGCTTATCTGCTGGTCAGCCTTGCAGGACACGTTTAGGTCAAGGAAGCAGGGAGCACTTCCCCGTCACTGGTCAGGGCACTCACCGTGTAAAGGTGTGAGGACACAGTGGCAGCTTGATTCAGATATGCAGCTACGAGCACTCAGGTGGCACACAGAGGCATGTCGGTGTGGAAATGTGGCTACAAACTTGTCCCTCCAGCACAGGTCAGCTAATGCAAAGGTGCAGGGACTCTGATCCAAGCCTCTGGTTCACCTCTTAGAAGCTGTCTCCCAGGGTAGAAAGCTGGGCTGGAGTCCTTTGAAAACGTGTCTGTGCCTCTGTATATTTGGAATTGATATCAATATGCAAATTTAAACATTTTGCACTCAAAAGAAGCACTGAACATTATTCAGCCCCAGGGCCCCAAGAAAATGCAACTTTGGGTTGAGAAATTCCATGTTTGGGCAAAAGATGAGCTTTGCAATAGTAGATGTAATCCCTGAGGAGGAGGATTTGTGAGCAGAAGGCTGAAGATATAGCTACAGAGCCACAAATCCTGAAATTTATTACAAGAACATTACTATCATGCATGCAGGGTGTGCTTGTGCATGCATTATAGGCCCATTAATATGATGAGCACAGGACTTTTCTGATATGGCATAACGGGTTTATTGGCTTAAGTTGGGGAGGAGTATTTTATCTACAAATGAGCAGGTGATATTTTGTGAGGGATTTTTTTTTTTAAGGAAGATCCACATTTGGTGGGCTGGTTCTTTATTAGTGGTGGCAATCTGAAAGGATTTCTAATATTAGAAGTCCCGGGGAGGGATATGTTATTGCCATAATGTTCTTACGCTATGTGAGAAATTATATTATTGATGTGATACTTTTTTTCATGTGTCCTTGTAACTTACCACATACATTTCAAATGTTATCAGTTCTGGAGATTTGCAGCCTCTTCCTGAGACCCAAAAGCAACAGGGGCAGCTCTTGCCACAAAGACACGGGAGATGCAGGCAGCCTACAGAAGAGTGTTGTGGGCACATGGCGCTCTCACTCTGCCTTTCTTTATTTTGAAATTCAGCCCTAAATCTGGCAGATGTTCAGAGTCAAACATATTTAACTCTGAGCCTCTGCTTTTAGAAGATGGATGGTTTAATGAATCAGAACCTTTAAGTATAAATAAAAACTAATCAGTTATGATTAGCATGGTACGTTGTCTATTGAAAGAGCATGTTTTCTTGTCCTCTGACTGTCTCTGCACATGGGGACACACACACACACTCACTTTCCATCTTTATCAGGTTGTCATTTCAACCCACTATTGTCATGGGATAGCCTTGGATTTAAGGAGCAGAAGCCTTACAAAGTCCCTGATAATATCATTACGAACATGGTCAAAAATAATTAAAAATATTTTTTTAAAGACGTTGCATTTGTTACAGTTTGGGTGTTAACCTGTCTACAAGATCCACAGGTGTGGGAAAGGAACCATTAGCTTTGGAGAAACATTTAACTAACTACTAAATGTTCTTCTTTGTGTCAGTTTTTTAAAGGAAGTGCTAACTGCCTAAAGTGAGGAACTGCATCTTTTCTTTTGCCTTTCACAAGTGCTTTGAAGTCCCCTAACATTAACCTTAAATCGTTTTAGACCAGTTAGGTTATGGTCCTGCAGAAGGCAACTTACCTCCTTTGTCTCCTGTCATTTCCCCATCTATCAGAGGTGCTTGGTTATACCTGTTTCCTTTGCTAAGTACTTAAAAGTCTATGAATTAAAAAGCAATATATAAAACCTGGCTATCAAGTAATGTGAAGTTAAGATTCCCTTTCAATGCAATTGTCTTATAGCCTGGAATAATGTGACCAGTATCGTTTCTGAAGCCTGTTGTATGCAGTTAGCACCCTACAGGCAGATAAGAGAAAAGCTTTTGAACTTATGAAAAGTCATGCCCTTTAATCAGATGCTGCTAATCTTTTGAATTTGCTTTGCCCTGTAGACGACTGAACACACTGAACAAGTGCGCCTCAATGAAACTCGATGTGAACTTCCAAAGAAAAAAGGTAAGAAAACTTCAGGAAATGTGCTGGCTGTGCCCCAGCTTTTGTGATAAGACCTCCCCAATTTAGTCTTTAGTCAGTAATGCTCTTAAAAGTAAGTTAAGTGTATTTGACTTTGAACATGTGTGTCAGCATTATCTGGACACATGATAATGTGAATTGCTGAATCTTCAAATTATAAATAAAATAAAAAAAAAAACCCTGTGACTAATACAGCAGGAACAATACTATGTGTGTTAAAAGGGCACACGCAGTACTTAAAACTTTACATATGTACAATTCAAGTTAGCGGGTGAAAAGACAGTGCGGCTTCATTAGGCTGGCTTGTTTGCCAATGCTATGTGAGTACACAATGGAAAATCCTGCTCAGAAAAAATGGAAGCTGCTCAGATGAAAACAATAGCTTTTCTTTATTTCTTGTACTGACTTATTCCTGGTTAAGAATATGAAAATAAACTCTGTCATTCTTACAAGCTTCTGTGTAACATGGGAATTATTTGAGCTTAAAGGGTTTTGGCAAGGACTGCAGAAACTGCCTATTGATTTTGAGAGTTTTGTAACATGTCCAGCATTAACTGTTGAACGTTTGGTTTTCTGGTCACAAATTCCCCCAAGCCCTTCAGTAGTGTACAATGGTAGTTGTTGACTCTGAGAAATCTTGGTGTCTGTTTTTCCTCCCTTAGAGAGTTTGTCTAATGCTTTTTAAAAGCTACCTCCAAGAGCTGCATTTTCGGTATCTTTGCAGATTCAGTCTATCCACGCTGTTCACTGTTTGAGGGAACTTGAACAAAGAATGTTATTAATGTCCAGATATTCTGTCTTCTGCACGTGCCCATTTGTTCTGCTGTGTACATAGCCTCTTTGGTGTGCATTTTGTCCATTCACTGGAGCCGCGGGGACCTCTTCACTGTTTCAGACTTGATGTATTTTTCTTGTCTTTGATAAGTGCCAACACTTTCCACATCAAATACCCACATCACACCTGACAGAAGGAACAGTAAAATCCCCTGATTACACAATAACTTTATGATCTGGGCAGCTAGGCACTATAGGAAGAGGCTGAGGTCCTTCAGTAAAACCTAACTCAATCGCGTTGTTGACCAGCTTGGGGCGGTGTCTGGTTTGCGTCCATGCACTCGTGTACTTGTATTCGTGCAGAGATACTGGAGCTGCACAAGAGACAGAGTTACAAAAAGCAACTTATAGGTGAACGCTGATTGTCTTCTGGAAATTTTGTTTCGCTCCTGCCCTGCTTCTCTTCAACAAGTATTTTGGGTTTGGTGTGAGGTTTGTATGCTTCCTTGCTTGCTTCTTTAAGTGTCTGATTATGTTGGGTTAAAAAAAGGAGGATTTTCTTGTTATCTTTGTTGTTATTAGTTTTTTCTGCCACTCCTCCCTGTTCTGAATGGATTGACACCCCCAGCTGCTCTCCTTGCAGATGACCATTAATTTGCTATGGAAGTGAGACTGCCCTACTTGGTACCCTTTCAGGGGGACAGAAGCTAGTAGGGTCCATACCTGCACGAGGCCAGGGAGAAGCAGAGCAGAGAAAAATGTAGAGAAAGAGGGGATGAAGGAGATTTGGGATGACAGATACAGAGCAAGTGAAAGTAGAAGAGAACGTAGGGGAGAGAAGAAGAGGGAGGAGAGACTGCTGACAGAAGGAAATGTAAGTGCAAGTGTAAAAGCTGGAAATTGGGTCTGGAATTGAACACTGAACCAAGTAAACTTTTTTGGTGTAGACACTGCCTCTCCTAATAGTCTCTATGGTTATCTGAACAATGAAATGCAAAATCAGCTTGCTTTGGAGGTTCAGCGTAACAGGCTTGCACAGGACTAGTGCAGCTGCTTGAGTGATTCATCAAAATACGGCCAAGTGAGCTGCCAGGCAAGGTTACTGTGAAAGCCAGCACGGGGCGATTGTTCCCCACCACCCGCTCTCCTACCCGATACATGCACGCTGTGGGCTGCTCTCTTCCCCTTGGCTTCATCGAGATGCATACAGAAATCCTCGTGTATGTGTTGCAAATATGTCCGTAAGCGATTTGGACAGACAGAGATTAACCTTTGGATTAACTGCCTTCTGCAGCTGTCGATTTATGAGAATTCCTGCCCCCAGCTGGAAAAATGTGGCAGAATTCCACCGCAAATAAACCCACATTTTGCGTTTTGTTAGGCTCCCTCTGTATCTTAGGCAAGTACACCCTCAGTCAAAAAGATGTACTATTTTAAATCAACCGTGACAAATCTGTGAATCAAAACCTCTTTCTCTTTGGCAAATGTTATCAGTCACTCCTCAAGAAGCTTGCCCCTTCTCATCTTCCCAAACATAATGGTATTAAATGGACTTTTGAATATGCTCCAAAGCCGTGCACTTGATTTCACCCTAGGTCAGTAGAAGTATACAGTCACTGCTCCAAGATGTCTGCTCTGCCTGTGTAAGATGAATCGTTGCTTTCAGACCTACTCTTGATCCACTGTCCCCATAGCTGGTGACATGTCACTTGGCAAAGTGCTCTCTGCAGTTTTTTTTAGGACAGTCTCGTTTGTCAGGGCACTCTGATATCTAACAAGAACAGTGGGTCATTCAGGATGTTCGTGGCTTCCAGAATTTCTACTGATTCCGTCAAAAGAAAAGCACATTATGTCACAGGACTCGCAGTGCTGCCGAATTTGGAGTGAGTCACCATGACAGCATTTCAGTATCCAGATATTTCATTTGTCTGATTTTTCTTCTGATGAAACACAAGCATGTTTCGTTACCAATTAAAAAAACTAAACTAAACCAAACCTTTTTTTAGTTGAGCTGCAAATTTTGACACCAAAACCCCTCTGTATTTTCTGAGTGGTTCTGGGGCAGAATGTAATCCTATCTTTGTTGTGGTTAGACGCAAAACTTGTTTACTACCAATATCCATTTCTATTCATCTCTGCTTTCTTAAAAAAAATCTTAAAACTTATTTTCCTCTAAAAATGATTTAAAGTATATTCACCACTGAATTTATGTTTATTTCTGTCTCTTGCTCTGTGCTCTGCTCTTGGTGTTTTTCACAACGTTTCTACCACTTTGGCTAGTTTAATCGATTCCAGCTTGTAGAAAATACAGGCTAAATCCTGTCAGTTCATACAGTAATGTCAGCGCAGCTACAGGGATTTGTGTCAGCCAAGAATCTTCTTTAAGGTCCCTTTGGCATATTGGGATGTACAACAAATAAGAAAGTATATTTTTATCCTATTGGCTGGTGCCATAACGCTTCAGCAGTGGTATGCTTTGTAGATATAATTATCACTACTAAATTTTTAAAAGTACATACCCTTGTGGTTTGTAAAATATCCACTTTGTGGCACTACTAAGACCACAATAGATGGATTTTTAAGTGCCTGAGTCTGTGCAGTCCTTTGCTCTGTATATGCATACAGCCAATGTTGAGCTGAAACGAAGGTAGAGCTGTCTGATATGCCATTTCTTCCCTGAAGACAAGATGGCCAAAGCAGTATTAGCCTTTTCTAACCCCTTTCCTGCCACTTCACTAGCTGCTTAATTTTTCTCTCTAGCTAGCAGCAGAACTAAGATCTCCATTCATTCCTGTGAACTAATATCAGCTGCAGGAGCACTGCACACCTCAATGTTAACAGATAAAAGAGGAATGACTAAACCCAAAATTTCATAGCTATATTTTATTTTATGGTTTGGACATGATCTAAAACATCTGGCTGACTTGAAATGATAAATTGGCAAAAGCTTATGGCATTAGTGAGACCTGGCACACTACTGATCCCAATCTCCATCTTTTCAGGTTTCGCGTTATTTAAGATTTTGGGGGTTCTAGTAAAATTTGTTTTACATTTTTCAATTAGACAGGCCAGCGGAGAGCTAGTCAGAGATGGGAGATAACTTTACCATCAAAACTTCATAGAAAAATACTTCTAATAATAGACTTTTAAAATGAGAATTTTTCCAGTCCCAAAATAGTCTTTCTGGTTTAGCACCTCATTTTAGTCTGACAGCCTGTCATATTTTACTGCCTTCATACTGCTTCCAAGACAGTGAAGAGCTGTTTGGATGTCATGTAGGTGAAGTTAGTTTGTTCTGCTTTAAAACGAACGCACAAGAATAATGCAGTATAAACACAGTTGAAAGTCACGAGAAGGATACTCATTAGCAACTGTGGGCTTCACATCCTTAGAAAACAGTGAGTTCAACACTGACTGTGTGCTTCATGCTGAAGATGTATCTTTTTTGTTTGAGGCAACAGATGAGAAGAATGTCATAGGGAGAGCTTTTTTATCCAAATTTTTTTCAAGGTACATGTTGTCTGTATTGCAGAGTAGCTCCTGGAGCTGCCTAAACATAATCACAAATCTGCGTGCCCCAGGCTGAGGGATGAGACCAGGAAGGGCTGTGGGGCTGCTGCTTCCTCAGGAGAGGTCGGGGGAAGCCAGAGACAGTGGGGCAGGCTGGAGATCGTCAAGTTTGGGGTGCCTCTGACGGCAAAGGCAGTGGAGATAGTGGTTGCCACTGTAGGAAACCTCGCCTCAACTGTAGATGCTGCCCCGTCCAGGACTCAGCCTGCGTGCTCCTCCTCCCCACACCTCCACGGCTGCTTACACTGCCTTCCTTTGCCTGTGCTCCCCCCCTAAGTGATACCTCAAAATATTATTTTTGTATTGTTATTTTAAGCATCATGGCTATTTATCTGTAGTTATGTTCCTGAAACGTAAATCTTGTTAGTTGTACCTCATCTGTGAAGTTTATAGAAGTTTACTTAGTTCTCACTGCAAAACTAAGTGCAGCATCGGATATTTGCTGTCTTGATTTCTTACATAGCTCACATTGTTGTAGCACCCAACTACTTCCCAGTCTTTACCATGTGTATCTTAACACCATCCCTGCAAGTCAGGATCCCTCTACCTGGACTTTTCAAACCCCTTTTTTTTCCTAAACAGTCACTATGGGCATCAGTCCTACACAGTTCAGTGCACAGGCAATCCACCCCACAGAAGCCAAGAGGCATTGATGGGACTCATGAGCTCCATAACATAGAGCATGCTTTTATTCCTTACTTGTTAAGATGCTCGCTGCAGTCTTTACAATTAAATGAAAGAGGCTGTTATGAAAGGACTGATGACCAGTCTTTCATAAACTAGGTTCAGGGAGACTTTACCACCTGTTGCTCACATGCAGCAGAACAATCACATTGATTCAAATAATGAGTAAAAGCACCTGCTTTTAACATGTGCCACTTGCTGTTTTCCAGAGTGAAGATTCAGATGAAGAAGACCTCTGTGCTATCAGTAATAAATGGACGTTCCAAAGAACCAGCAGACGATGGTCTCGGGTGGACGACATTGAAGCTCTGCTTCACCGATCAGACAGACATGGATCTTCTGGGGACATTAAAATGAAAAATACAACAAGCAGCGAGAGCGTCCTTACAGATCTGAGTGAACCTGAGGTCTCATCTATTCACAGCGAGAGCAGTGGGGGAAGTGACAACAGGAGTCAGTCCGGCATCAGCAGCGCTGCCAGGGAGACCTGCGACTGCTCTGGCCAGCATGATGTAGAAAGCACGCTGCTGCAAGACTCCACTGCGTTAAACACCGCCCTGTCCCCCAAGGACAACCTGAAGAATGAGAAACCAACACGAACCAAAGCAAAAACCTTTCTAAAACGCATGGAGACACTAAAAGCAAAAGGTGTGCATGGAAAACTAAAAGGCTCAGGAAGAACAGGTCCTTTAGAGATAAGTGGACCTGTTCTCCAGTATGAGCCGAAATCCTTGAAAGACATGCACTGTGTACAGATAGTCAATGGCGATCTCCAAAACTTAGGACAAGACTCAGTCAAAAGAGGACTTTCCTTTTCTGCCAAATCCAGCAGTGACAGCAGTCAGTCTGAAAACAGCAGCAGTGGGGTGAGCACACCATGTTTGAAGGAACGCAAATGCCATGAAGCAAACAAGAGAGGCGGGATGTACCTGGAGGACCTAGATGTTCTGGCAGGAACAGCGTTACGGCAAGTGGTGGACCAAAACCGCAAAAATGAATTTCATTCCCAAGAGAACTTGGTTGTGCATATTCCCAAGGATCATAAACCAGGGACCTTCCCAAAGGCACTTTCTATTGAAAGCCTCTCACCTACAGACAATAGTAACAGTGTGAACTGGAGGACAGGCAGCATCTCTTTGGGAAAGCAGAACTGCTCTACTCCAAAAGAGTCCGGATTGATGGCTTGCTGTCCTAAAGAGAGCAGAATTAGTATTTATGACAATGTGCCAGGTTCCCACTTGTATGCTAGTACTGGGGATCTCCTGGACTTAGAGAAAGATGTCCTTTTTCCTCATTTAGATGATATTTTGCAGCATGTCAATGGACTCCAGGAGGTGGTAGATGACTGGTCAAAGAATCTGTTGCCGGGTCTGCCAGTTGATGATGTGTCAGTCAGGGAATCTCCACTGATGCCTTTCCAGTCGCCCACACAGATCACACTTGATTTTGAAGGAAACTCTGTCTCTGATGGCCGGACCACACCGAGTGATATGGATAGAGATGGAACATCCCTGAATGAATCTGAAGCCACTGGTGTTAGGGACAGGAGAGACTCTGGGGTGGGAGCATCACTCACAAGGCCAAGCAGGTAGGTAGCAAAATTTTGTACGCAAATCTGTAGACTGTGAATTGAGGTATAATGAAGCAGAGGCTCTCAGCCTGGGAGTCAGGAGGTGCAGGGTACCATTATAGTTGTACTCAGCCTGTATGGGGATGGGGACTTCCCAGGGAAGGGTGGGACTTTGGGAGAAGGGGCATTCTGCTATGGAAATTCTTATGTGGAATCAATGGAGAATTGGTTTAATAGAGCAAACTAAGGCTTTTTTTCCCTCTCTTGATCCATTGATCACATAGTAGGACCCTGTACATGTTGTGGGATGTATTTTCAATTCGTCTTCTAAGTTACGCACCCCAGTATTTATGCATCAGTAGCCTTGTGCACTTTTTTTATGCACTGGTCTGCTTTAAAAATGTGTCCTTTTGTGCTCAAAGAGAATTTCCCTACCCTGCCTCAATCCCTTACATGACAGGGTGAACTGATGGTGTACAATTAACTTCTTAATAAAAGTGAAAAAGGGGATTTTGTTAATAGTTTGCAGACCTGTTTTAAGTCAGAGGGATTGCTGAGCCAAGGGAGCACGGTCCTGGGTAAAGGCTTTTGTGGATCCATACTGCTGTGTGTAGGGTGGCTTTGTACGTGCAAAAGCAGTGAGAAAAGACCTGATATTTTCTGATCTGCCATCAGTCTTGTCACATCCTCACAGAGGATTCTGCCTTGCCATGGTTTGTTTACTGCTTCCCGTGCTTGCTCACCACCATCACAGGCAAGTGAACTCAAGGAAACTACTGAGTAAATGAGCAGTGCCAAAGTTCTTAGGATTTGAGCCAGAGCTCATGTTTAGCAAAACAAGAAACTGAAATGAGTTTTTTTCCGATTTATCCAGCATATAGAGAAAGTGCATTGGAGTAAAGAGAAGATGTGAGTGGCTCAATAGCTCTTGCCAAGGAGACACAGGGTTGAATCCCTTCTCCAAAAAATCCTTCAGTATTTAATAATAGAGATATTTGGAGAACCTCGTCTCCAAATACCTTGGTGGTCAGGCTGGTCCCCTGGGAGGTGAGGGATCAGGCATCAACTCCCGGTTCTCAGTCAGGGAGAGAACATTTGAATATGTATCTCCCACATCCTGTTGGAAATGTGTGGGCTAAAGGGCATAGCAGGCAGCACTGCTTCTCTGAGTACATGGGCGGGACCCACACCCACTTGTGAATCTAACATTAAAAAAACCCAAAGCTTGGGCATTTCCAAAATTAAAGAGATTGAGCAAATTGTTTTATTTGCCTCCAAGCTACATTTTCTTTCAGCTGACACATCATGAGCCATAATGTGCGTGTGTATGTTTATGTATGTTTTGTATGCCGCCCAGCACTACCTCACAATATACCATCTTTTTCTGCCCAGTAAAAGCAGTTGTTTGATTTTTCTATTGTTTCTTTTGCTAAAGGCGATTACGATGGCATAGTTTCCAAATCTCTCATTGCCTGAGCCACTCCATCGCATCACTTCACATCAGCAATCAGTCAGCAGCCCAACTGAATCTACTGCAAAAATTCTCTCTGCTTCGTCTTACTGCCATCATGGAAAAGTACTCCATGTCAAACAAACATGGCTGGACCTGGTAAGTACCGTTGATCACTGGAAAGGAGATATTTTTAGAAGAAAATAGTTTCTCCTAATTCTGTTATTCTGATAGTAAATTCAGTAAATGCAATTTGGAGGAACAATTGACTTCAACTGTAGAATTTGAAACTGTCCCCTTTAATCCATTGCTGCCTAGTGACTCAGTGGCAAAGTCAGAAATAGATCCTGGAGAACTGACTTCATTCCTGTGCTCTAACAGAGAGACAACCCCGGCCTCTCTAACAGCACTCCCGTTCCAGAAAAATAAACAGGAGTAGGAGAGTGATTAAAAGAAGGAAATATTTACAATAAGTCTTCCCCAGAATTCGTTTTGTGATTCGAAAAGAAACAGCTGATGATGATACTTCATGTATTTGATATTAGTTTGTTTGTGCTTTAAAAGAAGGGTTAGAACAGTTACGGCACTTTTCTCTGCAGATCAAAAGATGTAAGCTTTAGCCTAGTCCTGGACTTGTGTTAGAGGGAGCTTGCAGCTGTAGCAGCTGTAACAGCTACCTGGTCACTCAGAGAGTGGAGTGAAGGGCAGAGGGACATGAATGCTGGCAGTGTGGTTCCTTCTGTAGCAACTGGCTACAGAAATCTGCAAGTTTAATAGTATACAAACCCTGATAGGCCACGCAGACTGAAGTCTACTGGAATGGAATTGGGCATAGATAAGGGTTTATAAGTATCTGAGAAGCAATGAAAAGGAAAACAGAAACTTTCCCTAATACACGGAGACACTGAGTCCAAAAATAATACAACTTGACATTTACATTGTGATTTCCGTGTTCAAAGCACTTCACCAAAATCCCACTAAATTCAGCTGTGAGCTAGATAGACAAGTTTTCCTGTAGAAATGGAAAAATAGGTACAAGGGACTACATGTGAGATTCACCTCACTGATATCTGCCACTCTGAGAAGTTGTAAGTTTAATCTGAGCAAGTCAGGTTGGCTGTCTGTGGTCAGCGGAAAAAGACAGTCAACTCCAAAGCAGCTCATTCTATCCAAGGCTCAGGGTTTGGGTCACCCTCCAGAGGTGCCTCGCTCCACAGTTTGTATAGAGGCAGACTGGACTGCCAACTCTTTCTAAATCTCCGTTAGAGAACTAAAATTCAATAAGATGAACCCCCAGATCACTGTTCTCCTTTGATGCAGCTCCCTGCAGCTAGCTGACAACATCTGTACTGAGATGAATCTCACCCTAACCAACTCCAAATAAGCAGACTAGAATACAGCAAATTCTAGATCCTGCTGTTTGTACAGAGGTTTTCTCTCCTGACAAATATTTCTTCTGTTTGTATAATTAGTCTCTAAGGATTTATAAGAGTGGGACTTTAAATAGCTGTAAAGTTATATGCTGTACTCCTTCAGTAGGTCATTTAATCCAAGTTTTATCTCCTTCCCACACAGATGAGAAAAATCTTTGTCACATTCAGGTCGTATGCATCCATTTTGGGTTTTTTTTTTTAATTCCACTGCAGTCATGACTCCCACAAAGGGAATCCAATTTGTTCTCATTTTCATCATCATTTTTGGAAGAAAGTAAGCTCACCAGCTTCACTTTGGTTACTCAGCTAGAATAAATCATATAACACCAGAGATGAATCAGGCACATAGGGATTTCCCACCATCATTTATTACTGTAAATTGTTAGTCAATAGAAATCCTAAATCATGTAACTGGTAGTATAAAAATCATTCAGCATGCTAAAAGACTGAACCTCCTTTTCTCTCACATACCCTCTGCACTGTGCTTTGCTGTGCCATTCCTTTGACTCCCTAATGGATGTTTCAAACCATGTTGGCTTCAGCTGGATGAGAAATGCATAGTAAAAGTTTTTTGTTAGAAAAGATTGTTAGGCTATATCTGAGAGCCAGAGGCCATCTACTTATAAAAGTTGTCAAGAAATCCATCAATTATACAGATTGTAAAGTGTCCGTGTACTGTGCATTAAACATTATTTCACCATCCTAATAAAAAGGGAGATGGCCCTGTTACCAGTTTCTGCCAGCAGTGTTACTCAGACTGTGTAAATACTCTGATATTTTCATGCAGCCTGTTCATGTTAATTATCAGGTCTGTGCCAAAGTTCATGAAGAGGATGAAAGTCCCTGACTACAAGGACAAGAACGTCTTTGGTGTGCCTCTGATAGTTCATGTCCAGAGAACAGGACAACCTCTTCCCCAGAGCATACAGCAAGCGCTACGCTACTTACGGAGCAACTGTCTAGATCAGGTATGAACTTTACTCCAGGGACTCAGTTGACTTTTTCTGAAAAGCCACCCTAAGCAAGCAATGGTGAACCTGTTTGTACTTGGTACCAGAATTATTTGAAGATTGTTATATCTCATTCTGGGCCCAGATCTCCTCTTGTGACTTGATACCTGGTGCCAATACTAATGGTTTGCCATTTTGAGATTTGTATCCAGCTAATCTGTTGAATTCTTGTAGCTATAACAGTCCTGCTGATTTGTATACAATAACCTACCTCAAGGAATGACATGAGATCTTCATGTCTGTTGCATCAGAGCTCAGGACTCCCCACTTCCACCCGTATCTGCAGTGCTTATGCTTGACTATTGCCACTGAGGGTTAACTGCATTCACCATTTCACAAGATATGGTACAACAGGTTTTATTTACTTAGCAAAGACAGAAAAGTCCAAGAATAGAGAGCAGACTCAGCAAAATATTCAAAGTATTCTGTTGACAAAGTCAGATATATCCAGATAGACTTAGGTCAGCGGGGGTTCAGTGCCAAAGCCATTATGGTACGTTTCCTTTTATAGTGTTCTTAGCTGCAACAAGCCAGCTGGGAGACCTTCATGCTCAAAGTATTTCAGACTTTTCGATTCCCTTTAGCTACAGAGCAGGGACATACCAATCATATTTTTACTATTCTTCCCCTAAGGGATGAGGATATGTATCTTTATGAATATAGGACTGGGAGAAATCCGCTGGCTGATTGAGTTCAGTCCTCTACTATTATTGACCTCATGTCATATGACCTCTTCTGTAACTGCTTTTAGATAGCTGTAAGTTCAAAAGGAGCAACCAGCATTTTACTCCACAGACTTTGCTGCTTTCCTAGCTCTGAGCACATGAAAAGGGTGGAAGTGCTCAGTTCTTAGTCTTTCCATTTTCTGATCACCATTCTGGTTACTGTTCAGGTTGTTTTGTTGGGTGACAGTCATCTTTCCCAAAATGGAAGTCTAAAAATTAAATGCCTAGCTGTGAATCACAGCCATTTCCCTTTACAGCCAGTGGGGAGACACAGGCCCTTCCTATCCTTCCTTTCTGTTGGCTGTAGAGAGATTCTGTAGTGGTCAGACCTTGACATCTAATTCATGGGTGTCAAAATGAGGTGAGATGAATTCTGCCTACTGTATGTAGGGAGGAATAGCCTGTTGGAAATGTATTCATAGGGGATGGAAGGTGAAGATGCACACAAACAACTAGAAGCATTATATTCAGTAGCTGACATGCCTGGTTATCGCTGCGGTAATCTGGGTTTGTGTACTGAGCAGGGAAACCCAGTGTAGGAGGAAGAAAAGTGATGCAGCAAGCCTGGAATCAGTGATGGAATGGGAGGAGACACTTGCCCAAGTATGAGGAACAGGAGATGTGGGGACAGGGCTGGGCTTGTCGGCTAAGCGGCAGAGTAGTAGGAAGAAAGAGAAAAGAGAGGGGGGATAAATAGGGGGGAAAGTAAAAGGGAGAGTAAAACCAAAGAGAACGAACAAGCTCTTGAGAGATTTGAGGTGGTCAAAAGGAATGTCTGTGGGCAGTCTCAGACAAGTATCTGCCCTGAGAGGGAGGATTTAGTTGCTGGGAAGCATCAGAGCTACATGAAGGGCCATTTCAGCTCAGCTTGAGTTTCCACTCAGAGTAGAATTGGGAAAATACTGAATAGAAAATGAAGGAGGAGAAGTACAGATTGGGACCATTTAAAATATCTTTCCACCAAAAACCTTTCTAGGCCAAAACCCTCCAGGCAATTCAGTTTATCTGCTTTACAGTCACTCCCTTTGTTCCCATTTAATACAAAGTCTCCTAATGCCTGGCCAGAGGTCTGAGCAGCCTCCAGTCTCCCCCAGCATCTTGCTTATGTGTCCCTTCCATGCACCGCAGAAGGCAGTCTAGAGTCCTGAACAGGCATCAGAGCTTCTACTGCACGCACTTGGTAAAGTTGAGGTTGCTCTAAATCAGTGTAAGTTCTGGCTCCTGGCACTGAAACGTCTAAGATGGTATGAGGAACCTCACCATTATTTGTAGGATATATTATTCAGTTTCAATTTGTGAAATAGAAACTGCTTCGCCTTTGTCAACTGCATCTTTATTTCTGTCATGCATCATATGGCTACTTGCAGGGCAGATGATCCACAGCGTGAGGATAATAAAGAGATTGGGCCAGGCTAACCTCTGATAAGTCACTGGATTTGTAGTCCCATTTTATTTACAGAATGAGTCTGTAATATTGCAGAACAGAGCCTAAACCATTTTCTTCTATCAAGTGAAGAACTGTCCTCTTTTGATTAATTATGATTTTTTCCAAGAAAAAGGGAAATAGGAGCTTGGATAAATATCATTAAACAAAAACAGAGATCAAGAGTAGCAGAATGATGTGCAGCAGGAGATTTCGCAGGTGAGATCTGATGTCTGACCTCTCGAATCAGACTTAGCTGGAAGTTTTTAAAGATTCTTTATACCAGCAAGGACACTTTCCATCAAAAGCAGAGAACTGAGCCTCTGCTCTCACATTTTATCTACCACATACCAAACGTGTATTTTTTGGATAGAATTAGCATGAGTCCTTCTGTATCTTCAGCACACATTTCTAAGAGGAAAAGGGAATTAAAAAGAAGAAGACAAAGAGAAAGGGAAAACCAGATGAAAAGAGCCAGATGCTCTTTCTTGTATTCTCTTGTCAGAACAGAGCAGAGCTTCACTTGTGAACAGAAATACAGTGCACCGGGATGTACACAGGGCACGCTCCAGTTCTGTACTTCCTACGCATAAATACAACACACGAGCAATGCTACATTCATCAGTAAGAAGACATAGCAGAAGAGCCACTCACAGCCAGTCTGGTGTAGCAGTTCATCTCCATACAAATAAATACATCCCCTTGCAGAGCTGCATAGTATGTAATTAGTGTCATTAATATGTGAGTTAACAAAAGTCTTAAATACCATATTCCTGAGCATAGAAAGTGTTCTAGGGAGAGGAGGGACCTATGTGAACTCTGTGCTGGCAGAAGTGAGGGGAGGAATGCCAAAAGGCATTATTTCCTTGCCTCTACACATTTTTGTTGGTGGACTGCACCATGCAGGAAGCTGAACAGACCACCAGCAAGACAGCAGGCCTGGAGGAACAGAAGTCTACAACTCCAAAAGTGAAATGTGGCTTTTTGTTTCTCAATATTTCACCTTTTTCCCTGCAAAACTGAAGGAAAACAGCGCTAACACTTCCCAAATGAAACCCTGTAAACTCACTTGGGAATAAATAATGTGGTTGAGGCTCAGGAATTCACCCCGGGGGAATTCCACTGGTGACAAGGACGTAAAAGGGCAGCACCACCATGAAGGCATCATTTGAAGAATTACAGCTTCCTTTAGAATGAAAGCAAACAGGATAAAAACGTATCTTAGTGACACTGCACAAGTAATCCCTCTGTGGCCCGTGCTTTCAAACTGGGGTTTTCAGTGGGATTTGGGGGAATTGTTAGAAGCAGAGAGCAGGAAGGGGAAAAAAATAGATGTGGTCTTGATTTTAAAGCTCTACTAGAATGTACTAATCTTTTGCCACAGCATTGATTACTTAGCTGAGCATAATATTTTCTTGTTAGTCTTCAAAATATATACCCAAATAAACATGAGGAACCAGATTCTCAGCTGGAGTAAATCAACAGTCACCCAAGCCAAGCAAGACACTGCTGATTTATATCAGCTGAACATCTTGCTTAAACTTCAGGCAGCAGGGAAACCACATGGACTTTGAACTTTCTCTCTCTCTAGGATGGGATACAGAGCAGCAGTGGTGTTATTAACTCTTACAGTCCTGCCGTGAGGGTATGCACTTGCCTACAAGACTGCGGGCAAGTCACCACCATCATATTTGCACATATTTCTCTTGTTCTTGCCTAGAGTAAAATAAGCAACCCAAGCTTTGGTCATGATCTAAGTCTCCTGTAATAGATTCTTTT